CTGAAATCAACGACGCCCGTGAAGCCGCTGGACTCCCACACTTCGTAGCGGCCAGTAATGAAGCACTTGCGTGGCCTAAAACTAGCTCGGAGGAAAACGAAGGGCCAAGCAATGCCTGGGACCCTGTTTGCAACGCTCTGATAGCAGTAAGTGTCTTTCACCGCAGCTTTCGCGCTTCGACCTCCTATCCCTACTTCATGTTTGCCTGTTTCTTCCTGCGTGCTTTTATCCCTTCAGAAAGACTCAGAAGAAGGAAATCCAAAGGGCGCAGGCACAAGTGAATTTAAAAGTGGTACATACGCCTTCATGGCCTTAACAACGGGGCAGGCGGATTGCGCCGCCGCTGTGGACCACTGGAAGGCCGCGGTCAGCAATTTCGCCTCCCTTCCTCCATCAAAGACTGAAGGAGAGGAACTCTACGACAAGCCAGAGAATGTCTCTTTTGTTGCAATGTACAACCCTTCAGACAGTGCAGCTGCTGACTGTCGAGTCGTTACCTGCACTCAAACGCCAGCTCCAGAAGGCAAATCCCTCAAATTACGGAGTAGTACTGAAGCAAAGAACGGCTACGCTCTACTGTGCATGACCACTCCTGACCTGATGACAGCTGATAGTCCTGCTCCCTTCTCGTAAGTTTTATACCAACCCCTGCAATGTAACAATTGCACACCGAGCTGGGCATGTACCTGCGACTGCAATGTTGTATGCTGCTCATCTGTTGAAAAACTGCGTGCAGGGAGGACCAGTGGAGTAAGATCAAGGCATCCCTCACAGGCTCAGCGTCAGTCGCCGCCCCGAGTCTCATTGCCTTTGCTATTGCTGCCCTTGGCCTGGCTGCCTTTTGAGGCAGTGGCCTCTCCGTCACACGCACCGGTTCCTGATTGCATTCAAGGAAGACCGGGCTTCGCAGTGCCCTATTCACATGTTGGCGCCTTCAGAACAGACCTGATGACAGACAGACGTTGGCGCCTTACTGAGGTGTTTTTTCCCGCTGCCTCCCTAGGACTGCGGCTATTAAGCATTTTCAACACACACACATTTCAGTGTGCGCCAGTCAGCCTTGCGCTGCAAGTGCAATTAGTGTACAGGTCTTCTCAGACTGTTTCTAATTCTATTGGCACCAGCGTCATGCGCTACCTGCTGAAAGGTTTTCTCACCTCCTTTTATTTCTCCTGATAGCCAATGTTTGCCTCTCTCGATTGATTTCGTTTCACTGGCCTGAGTCGTACCTACTGTTTCCGTACCGCTGAGGAAATTAATGGGCAATATGCACGCCCGCTATCGATCCAACGTATCATGCGTTGTTACATTCTTTCTGGCATATCTACACACGTCTGTACGTGCATGTCGTCCTGCATGCGTCCTTCCTGTGCCGCTGGCATTAAGCCTAGCGACTGGCAGCAGTCGTTGCAGAATTTGCAGCAGTTCGCATGTTGTCAGCTGGTGAAGTACAGGAGAGTTGCTCACGAATTTGGTGAATAAGCCTCCCTTAACCTTGCCTCTGCTTTTTTATGTGCGGACAAACGACTCCTTACCCTTATATTTGCAAGCAGAAAAAGCCTCGTCAAAGGGCAGCTCGCCCCTCGTATGGAGGGACACCGTACAAGGCCAGAGGAGCAAAGAGCCACAGTTTCAAAGCAATTTATTCAAAATAAGCCATCAAACAAACAGCACGAATGCTTTACTTCGAATTAATCAGCCGCTAAACACGAATCGAGCTCGAGGGGCCCTGGTGGTCGGCCGGTTCATTGAACGATGGCAGGACAGTGCACGTTCTCTTACGGGGACTACAGGTTGTTTTCAGCAGTTGTAGGGGGCATTTTCTTGGTAATACTTCTTGAAATATACGATTTAAGTACGGTTAACCGCGGCAATCCCCTAAACTCGACGCCAGTGCCTATGCAGAAGGACCCCACGCCGGACCGGATTCGCCAGTCGCAGTTAGCTCCCTCACCGCCTCCTCCTCCACACACACTGCACAACATGTTGACACGTCTCTACTTGCAGTCCCTCCAAACTTGCACTGTCCTTTTGTTTTTTCCAACTTCACGCTTAACTCCACGAACATGGCGCCTCTGAAAATTATTTCACTCGCCGCTACCTCTGCGCTCCTGATGGCCCGCGTAGCACAAGGAAATGGACAGCAAGATGGAGACACAGATGGGGAATCGCCTGCCTACAAAGTGAATATTGGTATGTTGGCAAACAATTGGCTGCTGGGGAGAGATTAAGTCTCATGATGGTCCAAAGCAAACGTGTTGAGACGGTGACCTGTGCTGGAGGTTCAGTGTTTTTTGGAGCTGAGCTGGCCCCTCCTAGGGCTTTAGACAAACCAACCCCTCTTCAGAAACATCAGTGTTGGCACATTTGGGTATTTTTTGTCTTTATCAGTCGCGTTTCTACAGGTGAACCCGGTGTGTGCCTTGCCGAGATTAACGCTGCTCGTGAAGCCGCTGGACTACAACACTTCTTGGTGGCCGATGACGACTCCGAAACGTGGCCTGAAACTGGTGCTAAATCAGTCAGCCAAGTGTCTAAGCCATGGGATCCTGTTTGCAAAGCTCTTTTAAAAGTAAGTGGCCCTAGTCCTTGCCTTCCATATGTGGCATCGTATTCTCTACTCCGTTCCGTAATGTTCAGTATTCTCTACTCCGTTCCGTAATGTTCATTCCCGCACGCCCTTTTTATCTGCAGAAAGAAGAAGAAGTCACAGTGCAGCAAGGCGCTGAGGAAAATGCCTTTCCAAGCGGCACGTACGCCTTCATGGCCTTGGATACAGCAGAGGCGGACTGCGCTGCCGCAGTGAGCCACTGGAAGGACGCCG